GATGTCTTATTATGCTCGATTGTACCCTTGTAATACATGCTATGCTGATCTGCCTTATAGCTAGTAGCCTGTATTGTAGTCGGTACCCTGTCATACCCTGGTACTGATAGAGATTGATACCATGTTTCCTGAAACTGAAAATTCTATTAATTCTCAAATCTCTGTGATTAAGAGTGATTTAAGAGTGTAAATTGACATCGGATGTGCACTAACAAAAAGCACCGTGCATACTGTTGTTTAGGATGGTAAAACTGGTGAATTATGACTTGGTGTCATTGTATGAAACATACATAGTCCTGCAGCTGGGACTTTTTATGGCTTGCACGGCTGGAAGGGAAGTCTAAAAGGCAGGACTCAGATTCAATGAAGCACAGGGAAATGAGACCCAGAAAACTTGAAAAGGCTGTTTTTTTTTATAGGTTACTTTAATACTTGGCTCTCTACTTGGCATTTCATAGGGCAGATATTCATCAAGACTGTTCAGTCTGATTTGCTTTTTTTCTCCCGTGCATTTAGACATTCATACATTCTCAGTATCCCATCTTTATCGCACCCTTGTCCTAATTCCAATCCTTCCTATCCTTAACCAGCACACATAAAAAAGAGAGTCGGTGAATTTCCTCTCAAAGAATGTTGTATTTACAACCTACATGTATAAAAATGGAAAGAACTGTTGAGTATTGAGTAGATAAAAGAGTATCCACCATGCAGTCAGTGATTGGCTTAATTTGTCTCCCTGAACTCTGTCTTATATCAGCATGTAAGAAAGGAGGCAAAACAAGTGTGCAAAAAATCATGAAAGTTCTGTTACATGAAGAGAAAGAGGAAAAAGAGATGGTATCAGCTTGGTAAATGGACAGTATGGCATCTTGGGATTGATGTTGAAATGTTGAGAGGAAACTTGGTGCAAAGCAAGCCATGCAAATGGCTAGTTACATGATGAATGACTGCACAGCCGTCCTCCTGATGATGTGGCCTACAATCGTCCTATCAAAGTACAATCACCCAGTATAGCAGCACTAATATGAACTCAGCGGTATGGCTCTTACATTACACACAGACTGGGTCTGTATGGCTGTGCATTCAGTGTACTAATCCAAGCACTAATTACTTCAAGAAGCAGTGGAAAAATGGTCCAAGTACACAGGTGTGCCGACTAAGACAAAATTTTGGTTAAGTGAAGCGACTAAACCTTATCATTTTTGAAACTAATATGCCATTACCATCCTCATAAAAAAACTCAAAGGGGAAATTTATTCTGCTTGATTTGGTGAAGACGGTGAATAAATTTGTCTGCTAATGGAAAAGCCTCTCAACGTTTTATATTCTTTTTGTATTGAAAGTAATTACATTCGTCTGTCGTGGTGGCAGTTCAATATTATCTGTTGTAATTTGGAGCCCATTGTAATTAGCATAATTACATTGAGGGATGGCTGGCTGGGTGTTTAGACATTCTGTTGCCTGTATGATAACAATTTTACTGTACTACAGGTGGAAGTCATTAATATTCGATTGATTACCAAACTATCCAATGAAAAAGAAGTTCCTTTGAATATTTGGTGCCCAAGGGAAAGTGTCGCTGTACTTTGTTACTGTAAGTTGTTAAATTTGGTTATTCATTTAGCTACACATGTACTACCAGTCATATGAACCAACAGAAAATGTAAAATGTACATGTACATGTTGTGCATATACATGTAGTTATATCTTTACAGTCCTGAAGTTGAAGGATTCAGAACTGTTTAAGGGCAAATCATGTGATAGGATTCAAACATTTCTATGCTCTGAGCATGCAGGGTAATTGTTTGCAATCTTTTTTCTTAAAAAAGAATTAAAGTTAGTCTATGCCTTATTTTTTATTACAGTAAATGTCACCCAACTGGAACTCAACAGTGTTAATTTATTCTTAACCTGTGTGCCTGTTTCCCCACCAGCAATTCTTCTGCTAATTTCAAAGGAATAATGAAACTTACAACTAACAGGAATTGGATTAAAAGGTGCTGGTATTCATTAAATTCTATTTCTGGGGCAGGAAAAGTCTGTTGGTGAAATTGTATTTCTTTAGCAAAATAAAGGAAAGTCAGCTCCTAAATAAAACCAAGTTGTTAACAGACGAAAAGTGAAAATTGACATTGTGTAAAAAAAGAAAATAAAATTTGATCTGTGGTGCTTTACTTAAATCCAAAGTGATATTTGAGAAGATATCACTTAAAACGACACTAGAAGTTAAATCGAATCCCCAAAAGATTGTGACATTAGATTTTCTAATGGGTAACTTTTCAAAAGTGATTTTGTATTCCTTCAGATGGTTAGCTTTGATGATCATGATGGCAGTGCTACTAGTATTGGAAGAAAACCTGAATCAGCACAAACACAAAGATGACTACGTGTACCTCTTAACGTTTTACTGGAGGATCTGTAGTGCAGAGTGCTGATACTTGGCTTTCAAATTTGTGCATTTATTCCCATCCAGATTATGGTGGTTATTATGAGGGCTTTAGTCTTTGAGAAAAGACATTCAGAATCGAAGTTATACTGTATCTTCCTAGGAAGAATAATAGCCAAGGTTTGAGAGGATTTACGTGTACATGTAGTTGTCTCCTGCCATGTTGAATGGCTGATTTCCTGAAACCATGTCAACATAAAAGCCATTTAAAGTAATTTTTCTTGTGCAATTCAACAATGTCAACAAATAATTTTTATGAGAAGCAAACATGTGAAGGTATTGCTAATTTATCACTGTTAATCACAATTTTATTAGTAATCAAATCACACAACTACTGTTAATCCTTCGACAACGAAGATGTTCAAAATTAAAATCTTTAGAAAAAGCCTTTGTTTATTGAAACATGTGAAATATAATAGAACGCAAATAACAGAGACATAGAACTTTACACAACAAACAGTTCCATGTTGATTGAAGGTGTGCCAAGGTCTTCCCCATGTCATCTGTCAGGGAATTTGAGGGTTTGTGTTCTGATCGCCAACAAGAGATTGGCTGCAGAGTAGCGTCTGACAGAATGCAGTGCAAAACAAGTTACGATAATGGCACGTTCAGACAAGGTCGTCAGGTCGGTAGTGTAGTTGATGCCATCTGATGTACAGGAAACATAAAGCCTAATGGAACTAAACAATATCCTTAAGAATAATAGATGAACGTGATGATTAGATGATGGATACTATGCGTGGTGGGTATCGCTTGGTAATTTGACTTTAAGTCTGTTTGGATTATTACAGAAACATAATAATGTGTTATTTGAAAATTCTTTACAGGTTTACACCTGAGTGTTATTGCGCTACTCAGAATCTTGGCAGTAATATCAACTAAAATAGCTCTTGCCACCAGATTTCTTTCTAATACAAGACATCCCGTACACTAATAGCTTGCTGTTCTGTGTTGTGGAAAGATGTTGGTGGCCAGGTAGATCCAGTCCTTTCATCACTGCTTTTTCCTATCCTAAACAAAAGATGATACGAGCGGCAATATTTAGGAGCTCTTTGGATCTCCAGCGAGCACTTGACTGATTCCCCAGTGCCGCCCAGGGTTTCCACATCAGACACCATGCCGCTTCCTCATGGTGAACCATCAATGAACGCTTTGAAATTTGATGAGGATTTAAGACAGACCCTTCAAGCGCTGTTGTGTTGCTGAACCATACGGCCCATGATTTGTAGGCCTGCTCCCTGATCCTCAAGGGATGTTAACAAAAATCATTAGCTTATGTTGGATATCCCCCGGTAAAATAAATGGAGGGGACTCTGGTTCATACATGGTTTACACGAAAAAGCTCTTTGTGGTTCCATTTGTGTAAAAAACCCCTCAAGCTTGGATCTTTGAAGCCCCTTGGCCAAGCCTTACCCTGCACAGTTGGAGTATGGTCATGTTTGTACATGTAGATCTAACAATATGCCCAGTAGATTTTGATTAAAGTATTTAAAAAAAGAGCGAGCTGTGCTGGGAACAGTTATGGTTAAAACAGCTGTTGCTGCAGAAATTTGGAGCTGAGCTCAGTTTCAGTTTATCACAAAACAACCTGTTGTCTTAAATTGTGTAGTGCCACGTTGCACTCAAGTGCACCTGTTAATTTGCCTGGACTAATTTATGATAAGCATATGATGATCTACGAATTTTCATCTACAAATTTTATTTCCCTTCTGTGTGTGTGTGTTTGTGTGTGCTGGTATGGAAGTACATGTACTTACATAGTATTGGAAAGTTCAGTGGTCTGCTTGCTCAAATTTGGCAAGCTCACCAACATTTAACTGCAGAGTATATGTATGTGCAAAGGTACCAGCAACTTTGAATAATTTAAACAGAAGTGTCCGGAATGAGCCATTTCTATAAATCATTCATAGATTTGAATACATGGTATTACCCTGGCATAAAACATTCATTATAATAAACTTACAGTAAGATCTATTTAAGCAATAATGAACATACATGTACATGCACAGTAAATTTATATACTGCATGCATGTGTGTTCATTGTATATATTTCTTGCTGTTCGGTTGAAAAATAATGTTGTAAAAATGCAAATTGTTCTGGACTTGTATAAATGTTGTTAAATATAACCTTAAATGATTAACTCCAGTTGTCTTTCACAAGCAGCCGACTTACATAATTTTTAAACAATGCAGCACAGAATAGATTCTTTGTTTTTTTGTTGAGGGGGTCTTAGAATCCTGTAAAGATTGCCACTGTTGAGTCTATGTACATGTACATCACCTGTTGGAGATGTACTGAACAGCAATTTAAAACTTAAACAACGTGGGCGTATTCTAGAAATTCAGTCTCAGTTTGTTGGGAATGGTTCACGTGTTTTTCTCAGCCCCAGGAACCCTCTTAAGTTGATTGCTGAAGATATCAGAATATGTTAAAGTACTGTACATACATGTACGTGTATTAAAAAGCTGAACCTTAATATAGATTTCAGTTGTTTGCATTCTTCATGCATTTTGATTTTAATGTGTCCTTTTATTTGTGTGGTTTTTTTTCCAGGATATCAAAGTAAACTGGGCTACTACACCAAGTGCAAAAAAAGATACCAGTGGTAAGTATGTGGTGCCTTGACTGGGGATTTGTCAAATAAGAGGCAATGTTTGGGCTAAATTCATATTTTTGCAAACACCTTAATGTGCTGGTTGCTCAGAATCAAAGTAAAAGAAAATAGTGAAATAATCGTCACTTTGTAACAATTGGGGCTTACGGCTTAAACCTATATGTTACATGTTACGCAGAGTTGCACGATTAATGGTATATTTCTTGCTGCATTTCTTCTGGTTGTCAATTTTATTTGTTTTGGTCATGAGGCAGGATGTTTCTTTCATTTCTTTCCTTTAGTTTTTACTTGCTTCTGACTACACTTTTCTTCTTGCACATTACTGTACATGTACTTGAAGTTACATGTATTTGAAGTTATCTCCATATAAACTTACCCAACGAACCCACTTTCATACAAGCCTGCCTGTTGTACAGATGCATGTGTTTTAAATACCATAACAAGTTGCTGGTAGTTTGGTGTAGTGGAAACCATTATTTGTTTCAGAATGTAAACTCATACTGCAACTGGAGAGGGATGGGTACGATATTATTAGACTTAGTGTTACAGTGACATCTGTCGCTAAATTCAGCTTTGCGTCAGCATTCAGGAACTACATGTATATGCCTGCCAGTATTTTTGATGAATATGAAAACTCAGCTGCTTGATTTCTTACTGCTGGTTGAGTCTTGTCTTAACATTGTTGTCACTGTTAGAAGAAGTAGTGAGTAATACAATGAGACATGCTACCATGGACCACAATTCTGGGTCAAGTACTAAGACATTGTAAATGGTGTAGGTAGGTCCAACATGTACATGTAGGATGTGATGAAGTACGTATTTTCCACACATTACTACTCAGTATCACACATGCTCACATTGCAAAGAACCACAAAGTACAAATCTCATTATTGCTTGACTGCATGAGTACATGTTCATCAGAATCAAAGTGACTGAAGCCTTTTTGAGCTGGACAGATGAAGTTACCCCCAAAGCCGCAAACAAACTGGAAAGTAGTCATTTTTAATATGTGCATGTATATCTCTCTAGTCAGGCGAGTAAGATCATTCTCAGGATCCTTTTGGATCTTTTTCTCCGTCTTTCTATAACAATGCGTACTACTGTATGTATATCAATGAGCTCCCAGAATCCATGGAGCACGACTTCCCTGATTCTAGGTCAGCTGAAGCTTATGTTTGCCATGCATGAAAGTTAGCCCCAGAATCTAGACATCTGTATCCACTGAATATGTGTGATCTGCTGGGTTTCTCTAGCAACATTGTCTTTTCGGCAGCAAACATTTCCTGTTCATAGGGTAGGCTGTATGTGTAATGTAGAAGATTCAAGGCTGTATTTTTTCAGGTGCTACATTTGCATGCAGACATGTTTTTGGTTTCTACAGTTAGATTTTATTTTGTAAGATGTCATAATTTCTGGGTACAAAACAAATTGTCTGTTATGGATTCTGAAAGTTAAAGGAAATGAGCACTCCCATCTCTCTTGTTGGTCTGCTACATGTACCTTCTGTAGTATAGAAAGCAGGTTGAATCTCCTGTAAAAGTGTACCTTCTATATAATACCACTATTTGAAATACAGAATTGTTGAAAACTGTCAAATTACCAATCAATTTGTTGCTTAGAAAGTAGCTATTCTTGTGCATATCTAAATTCACCTGAGCTGTAGAAAGTTCTTATTTGATTGCTTGAGTTTCATTTTAATTTTGAGGTAAGTTTTAAAATGTTTGAAGCAGCCCCTTGAGATTATTTCAAATGCTTGTTAAGGAGATTTAGGAAGTATTTTTTACCTTTGATGAGTGAGTCTAGTAGGAATTTTTAATTCATGTAGTTTTTTCAGCGGCATGCTTTACACAAAGCCACATTTGTCCATCAGAGAATTATAAGAGGGAAAATGAAGTTGGAGATAAATTAAGTGTGATGTACGCCTAAATGGCAATTTTTGTGGCAACTGTACAATTTGTCATTCAGCTGCAGTACATGTATGCAGGTCATTTTGCTTGATCCCCCGTTGGCAATAAAAACCTACGGAATTGGTTACCCATTCCTCCTCTGATTACTCTGGTACTGTAGAATTGTTGAGGCAGAGCCTTTGGAAGGCACTATCAGCGCTATATCTACATGTACATGTACGTGCATGTACCAGCACCTACCAGTGTGTGTGTAGATCTGATACTGTATGTTCATTGTACTGTCTGATCATTGGGTGAACTGTACCAGTACACATGTACCAAGAATTCTTGGTGCTTGATGCACTGTACATGTATATTGCAATTACCAATTGCTTTAATGGTGACATATATCATTTCGTGTGCTCTATGCCAAACTTCAAGTCTTAGGGACATAAAATACTTCCATCCTTTCCATATCTTGAAGGATTTATAGCAGACATATAACCAGTAGACTAATGATAATCTGTAGTGTGTATAAGGACAAATAAAAGCATCATTAGAGCAATGATTGACAATCCAGACGTGGATGTGACCATGGTAGATGTTATTACGGATGGTCTTAATCGCTTCTTCACGGCTGACCCTTGGACTTGAGGCTTTGGTCTACCTGGAGACGAGGAAGGGTTAATTTCTGAGTGATATATAGGTAGTTTGGATTGTCTCCTTGACTGTGATCATATGCTTCAGAATGACAGTATTATGATTCAGGAACGAGATTGCTTTGACATGAAGGAGTGAAGTGTTAACAAGCCGTCTGTCACTCCTCTTCCTCTGCTCCTTCTCAAGGTGACCCTTCTTCCACCCTTGCTCTTTGACAGGCTGTTGACTAATGTGCAAACGTTGAAATGCTTTGGACAAAGTAGGAAAATCGGAGAGGAAGGGTTAAAACTATCCTTATAGTTCTTAAACAACATGCGTGTAGTGTTGCTACATGTAAATGGACCATGTTGAGAAAGAATAAACTTATTTCTCTAAGCAAAGTGACACTGACAGGCACTTGGAAGTATTTATCCTGGCTGTTCTGAGAACTCAACACAAGCTCAATGTCTAGACACACCACATTACACGTGTTGTCACTACAGACCAACGTCAATACCCACAAGCCAATGTGAATTTGACTCATGTTTTCAGAAGCACCCTTGCTCTATAACTGTCTTATCTTAGATTGAAGCATCTTCCACATGTGAATGTTATTATCAGCTCAACCACTCCTCAATCACGAAGGTTTTGATTTCTCCTGTATGATCAGATTTTGACGTTGCAATCTTGCATTTGCAGTAATTTTTGACCCAAAGGGTTTCATTTTGACCTTCTTCTCTTTTTTTCCCACCCCTCCTGGGTTTGATCATAAGCAGTTATTTGTCCATCTGAAATTATTCCAGAGGACTTCTAGTTTGGCACCTGGTGTATTAATCATGTCACAACATCAGTGTGAAGAGCTTGTCAACATCCGAGGGGCGTTGAGTTGACCGACAGAGAGGACGGTTGGGGGTTGCATAGGGGAAGTAAAGTTCCTCTTATGAATTATGCCTAGACCAAAATGGTAAATGGTACTAGACCATGTAAACATGATATGCCACTTGTACGTGGAAGGTATACCTCTTGAGATGTCAAGGAGCATGTATTTCTCCTGCAGATGATGATGAGCTTGGTGGACTGGGGGGATGGAGTTAGGTTAGGAGTTGAGAATTGGAATACATGTGGCTCTAGGATTCAGATGCATAGCTGTACATCACATGTACACTTCTATTCATTGAAACACCCATTTATTTATTATAAATGGATTTACTTAATCATCAAAATGCTTCAGGTTTAGGAAATGTTATTATTTGTGTTGTTTCTGATGTCTCTAAGATTCTTCTTGAAAATGTTTCGAAATTTAACTTCCTATTCATGTTTTAAAAATTCCTTTTATTTTTCTTATATTTTGCCAACAGTTCATCGTCAGATCATTTCAGGTAAAATTTCTTCACTTATTCATTAACCATTTAATAAAACAGATTGAGTCTAAAGCTTTACCCCAGGAAACTGATATACTGTATCTGAAATGTGCTGTTTGTCTGAATACAGTTTGGTGTGGCAATTCATGATTTTTCCCTGACCTGCCATGATTAGCTCCAGACACACTGCAAGATTAATCATCTAAAAAGGATTTGAGGGTCTCTAAATGGAAAGACCCTCATGAAATGGTACCTGGAGAAAGGGTAACATTGGTCAGAAACCTTTGAAACACTATAATATCTCTTTGACAAGTACTGTGCCCACTAAATCATATGGATGTGACTTGTGCCTCAATAGCAGGTTCAATAATTAGTGCTAACTCAGAAGTTATTTATTTATTATATAAATGAGCTTATAATCAGAAGCCTTCTGTTTAAACTGGAGGAGCCATTTTCCTTTTGAAAAATTTATTGGTGGACACTTCTGTGTTTTCTTTACATATACATGTACGTCATCATTAATTCCTGTTAATTGACTGGGGGAATCTAGCAGAAAACAGGTCGTTTCTGAAGAATTGCTTACTATTCTAAAAAGTATTTTGATGGAATCCTTGCATTTTGGAAAAAACATTGGCCTCTTCTCAAGGTGTTTTGAAAATGACTTGAGGCCAAGTAGACATTAAAGTACATATATTCCAGCTCAGTTGGCTTAGATAATACCTCACACATTGACTGTACAGAGAGACTGCTGTCAAATTTCACAGTTCAACGTGGTAAAATATTGAGCATGGGGTCTGTCACAATGCAGACATTAGGAATAGGGGTTCAGGCAATTATAGAGATGCTAAAAATAGAACAAGGGCTCGCATGAGTTCCATTTCTGATGTCTAAGGGAGTTGTTGGGCAATGATATTAAAAAATGGCACATTTCTATTTTTTGTGAGTTAACTTTGAATAGGCTCATATATACAGGCAGGTATTTTATTTTTTTTCTAAAGTGGTGAATGATTTACATGAAGAAGTATATGTTTTTTTTATTGAAATTCGGTTTAGAGATATAATTGCATCACATAGTAAATGTTCAAATGATAAAGAGTATCCTGGGATGAGTGACATGCGATGAATGCTTGTAATGAGAAACCAATGTGCAATTAATGGCATTGATTGATTAATATTCCAGCAATTTCTAGTCAGAGAATTTCAAAGGATTATCTCTGTCAATGGTAAATTGATGGAAGTAATGATTATAGTGTAACAGTTAATAGTAGCTCCTTCAAGGCTTATTCAAGCTTGTTATTTATAAGTTATCAACACTGCATGGTTTATTGAATTGGGAAGTCACTGCTTTAGCATGAAGAGCTGACTCCCTGGTGAGTTTGTTGCATTATTGAACAATTCCAACCATCAGGTGGTGCTCCCTTGCCTCAAGACACAACTGAGCAGGTGTTCACTTCGTGCTACTGAGAATGGTTACAAAGTCTGAATTTGACTCTCTGTGACAGGTCCTACTGACCTGCTCAACTACAACAATTCCAGCATAGGATTGACAATGATATCACCAGAAAAGTGTCAGAGGTGTTAATTGATTGATGAAGCAGTTAACATTGATCTAAGCAGCAAGTGACTTCATTGTTATACATGTACCTAGTAACCCCCTCATAACCTCAGATCAATTACTCTACCTGTGATATTAGATGAACAAACAATCACTTGTGGAAATTGGATTTGCACTTTTCCTCTGAGCATAGAATAGTACTGTTTATGCATTCATGGAGAACAATCATGCTTATCATCTCCATTACTGCTTTTCTCTTTCCTGCTCTTTGAAGCATAGTATCTTCTTCACATATACACGACCAGGGTTACCTGTACCTGTAAAAATTATAAGACTTATCTTACCCCAAAAATTGCAGATATGTTCATCAGTTTTATAAAATTGTGAGATTTAAAAAAGAAGTTCATTTTAAATTGAGAAAGTCTCTTAATTAAATTTGACAGCCATCATTTCAAATGGTTTCATTTGTGACTCGTTTGTGGTCTTTCTAGATTGCAAAAAAATGTAAAAGAAATATTAAAAATGTTTACATGTAAAATGCAAAAGTTGTTTAATTTTTTATAACGTTAGAGCAGTTGTTAGTCATATTGGAATTCCACGTTATCATTACCAGAATAATGAGAATCATTTACATGTACATCCATCAAGACTGAACTTCATCTGGAGAGAGAGAGGAGGGGGGGAGGAAAGAAGCCATGAATTGTTATGCCAGGGATGAAACTACAGTTAGCTCCTTGATGTTGAGTATTGCATGCAATACTGGTTGGTTTTCACACCAAGGGGGCTAAAGCTGCAAAGGACTTGTGGGAATTGCTGGGGTATGCCAGTGGTGCTATTAAGATGCCATGCCACCTCCTTTAGACCTGCCTAGTCGATGAGTTTTGCGGGTCATATCTTCTTGGAGTAACACCTTCGTCTTCCTGGCAAACCTCATCAAACCAGAAGGAGAGACTGACCCTACTGACTCTTTGTCTTAAAATATTCATGATTGGCACATTACCGCTTGATAATTGCATTGAATCCTGTCTCTAATAGTCACTGAGGCCATATTTGCATCCAAGGGGACTTTCAATCTTGTTCATTCTTTTATGGTGCTAAGGTAAATCTTTATGCCTTGATAGACAAACTGGAGTTAAGGCTGATGTTGTCATACAATTTCAACAATTGGCAGAGATTTTCTGCAAAAATTATTATTGTTCTGGTAGGCTCATTGGCCAGGAATTTTATTTTTCAATGATACTAATTTATTTGTTTGCGGTACCTGCTGCTACATCTGATTCGAAACCAGCCAGCCGACACCAGCAAGCTTGGTGGTCGAGTGGTTCAGACTTCTGCACTAGTAAGCAGGAGGTTGTGGGTTTGAGTCCCACCCGAGTACACTTTTTCACAGGCCTGGGGGGGGCATACACTGAGCATACAGTGTTAAAACTACACGTTGGGATGTTAACCAGAGTGAGCTTATGCTGAGATTACAGCATGAATATATGTGTGTTGGTGTAAGGGAAAACATGTTATACAGCTTATGTGTTTGCTTTACTTGTTTTGAGGGTAAGACATTTCAATTTACATGTTTTGAATTTGGGGTAAGAGCGGTGCTTTCAAGGAAAAGAGCAAATGAAAATTACATGTATGTCTGAAGCTTATGAGCTGACTTTCCATTGACAATTGGAGCCATGACCGGGAGAGATGTATTGATGGTTTCATGCTGTGAAGCTGACGTTTTAATCAGGTTGCTGATCCAATGGATGACATGTATTAACACACCAGGTCAGCAGGTTGTAAGAACTGTTCATTAATCCTCTGTCTTGTGTGTTAACACCTCTCCAGTCTTGACAGAACACCTCCAAATAATCATCAATTTATAGAATGGAGGAGTTACAGGGGTTAAGTTCAGCTTTCTAGGTGTCAGCTTATTAAAATTTGTTCTTGGTAATTACAAGATGTCATCTGTAACCTCATAGGAAATGTCATGGTTGTTAATTAAGAAACCCAACAAGGTACAAAAAAAGTTTCATAAAACACCATTCTCTCTCTCTCTGTGCTACTGTACCTCACACCTATCCATCACTCCCACACCTACCCACTTAGCCCCGCCCCTGCCCCACCCTCTGCTTTCACTTCTAAGTATAATGTGGTGAACTCAGTATTTCTGCAAGAGGATTGGTCCTCTCTTGCTGGAATATTTAACATACGTCAGTTCCCTGCTATAATTCTCTCATTATATACGAGGCTTCCGGACTGACTTTGTACAGGGTTTCTTGATTAATTTGCAATATATTAGATCATTCTTGCTAGCAGCAAGTACATGTACATGTATGTCTTGCTCTGATAAACATACAGCTAGACAAAATGACATCCAAGAAGACAAATTTGGCACAATGTATGATGGAGAGAGAATTGCGTCCATTATTCAAGGAAGGAAAACACCTTGAAGTGTTGTATGAAATGTGAATAAACTGAATGCTTGTCTATTAATATATCTGTTGAGGATGTACATGTGTATATTTCCTCTTGCATTATTGGTTCAACAAACATGTGATCTCCAAAAAAATAGATATGCCAATTTGCATTAAAATGGTGTATGGCTGTAAATAGAACGGATACAACACACTTGTACGTGTACATACATTTTACATGCATGTACCTTAAACTCAGCATGCTACACATGGTCAATAAGTGTAAAAGAAAAAATAGTTTCACAGTGGTCATTTTATGGTGCAGAATTAATTAACATTCGTTCTCTACAGAAATATTGAACTGGTGAACCAAACACAGTTTTTCGTTTTTTTTCAGTTGAATGTTGCAGAGATGCTTTTACTTGACTAAAGGGATAATTCCATAGAGACCGGTACCCTGGACATGGACATGTGTTGTACAGACTAAAAAAGTACAATGACCACTTTCTTTTGGTCGTCCCTGTCCATCCTAAATTGCTTAATACAGTTTTCAAATCAGACAGGATGGTAGCCTGGAATGACCTATGTGAAGATCTACTCATGCATAGATTTTGTGAAATTAAGATTTGCAATCCTGTTCAAAGCAAGAACTGTCAGACAATATTTGTTATATATTCTTGGTGCTATGCTCCAATTGAATGAATTGATGGCTTCCAGAACTCTGTCTCATCACATCAAGGTTCACAGCTGTAGCTGCTGAAACAATTCGCCATAGATACGCATCGTCAAATGTTGGAAGGACGTCAGATTTGTAGGAGATTAGAGAGTCATGGTATATCCTGCATTAATCCAGTCAGAGAGATTCAGTACTTGCCACTGTGAATCAGAACCTCATCGATGTTTTCAGTTTGTTCAGAAATGGGGGGAAAAATCCAATTTGTGATGAGTGTTAGCTTTTTTATATTTCACTGGACTTGAATTGTACAGTGTACTGTACATGCACAAATCCTAATCATACGTAGCGTTTGTTGCTTTGGTTATTTTTGGTGGATTAAACACAGACTTACAGGCATGATACTGTTGGAAAGAAATATATAATGTAGTTCCAGTTTTGGCATCACCATAGATTTTATTTCTTGATCAGAATCAGATGAAAATGGAGTGATAAATATCAGGTTGTCTGGCTTAGTAAGGGAAACAGTTCAGCTGAGTCTAAGACTTTGCCCAGGGCTTGAGAAGGGTTCATCGATGGGTTGGTTGTCGGTAATATCAAGCATGCTTTGCCCCTGGGCAACTCATGCTCAGTCAAGCACTGGTCATATTATGAGACTAGCCAGCCAGGTATGACGTGGCAGTGAATGCTATATTGCCATGATATCACATTGCATGAGATATTACCATTAGGAGATGTACATCATCATTATCATCATGTATCACCATGGTGATGTAGGGTGGAGATTGCATATCTTTGCTCCACCTTCTCGATTCTGTTCCATTTTCCTTCCGTTTCCTTCACTTCTCATGTACATCTGCTATTCCCAGTTGCTGTTCCCATTGACCTTTTAGGCGGCAGTTTTCCAGACTGCATTTTGCAGTTCTTTGCATTATGTATAAAAGTAGATTGGTAGCATTGAAAGGTCTCCCTTTTGCGAAGTGTTGAATCTTTTATCTGCAGGTCACTGATTTTTTAAAAACAAGTTGTGGTAAATTGAAGTGTTGGGAAGAAATCAAGTGAAAAATTATTTGCTCAGTTCTGTCATATTTAAATGTTTTATCAGCTGAATAAACATGAAACAGTATTGGTTGTCTTACCTGTAGGTGTATTGATGTCCTAGATATCATGCATTCATTTCAAGAGAAATATTTATTGTTGTTTGGTGCCTAATTAATTAGTTACTAATTAATCACCTGAACTAAATGCCAGCTGAGAAAGTTCCAATGAAGCATACTTTCCAGACAGCAGCGGTACATGTAAACCAAACTTTGGGGTGTGGTTTGTCTGCCATTTTAAACTTTTTCCAGCTCCACTTAACTTTTTTCCAGTGTCCACTGTCACTTTCGCTTCACCTTTGACCTTTGTACTTTTTTGTCTTTACTACAGGTCATCATCATATATTTGTTGGTGATTTAGACCCTTCTGTAGAGACAGCTGATCTCTATAATGCCTTTTCCGTTTATGGAACTATTTCGTAAGTATCACAATAAGTTGTTGGCATTCATCAATTTTGTTTATCTTTTACTTTTGGTTGCAATTTCATATCATTAATTTTTTTGTTGAAGTGGAGTTATAGAACTCCATGTATTCATCTCCATCCTATTCCAATACACATCAGAAACAAAGTTAACAAACATGTACAGTGTGAGCTGTACTTAAAAAACGAGTGTCATTGAGAAGACAGAAAGATAATTATATTATTAAAATATATGCACACCAAGAATAATTTGTCCTTTAAACCAGGATCTATCGCAGTATATATTAATTAACAATTAAACTAGTATTCTTTTTTATTCTGAATCCAATCCATATAAATTAATTTATGTATGCAAGTAATTAGTAAATCTCATACAGCTGTTATATTCAGTTAATCTAATGAAGCACAATCAGCCTGTAGCCTCTTTGTGGAATTTAGAACAATCTTCATATGCACGATATATTTCCTAAGGGATGGAACTCTCTTTTTGTTGGAGTCAAATGTTACAAAGTTGACTCCTTGAGTGCATAAGGGTAGTTTTAAGTTGTACATATATCTTGGACTTTGTCATACAGGATTTGGGACTTTTTTTTAAAATATGGATACTTTGAATTTTTTTTTGGTAAAGTTTTAAAAAGTCCAATTGTAACAGAGAGAATGTCATATTTTCATTTTTCTGTTTGATACACTTTTGGAGAAGGGGATCATTGGCACTGAAAATACGAGGAAATGCTTTTGTCCTGTTCCCATGCCAGGTAGTTAATTTATACATGCACAAATACAACTGAAATTAATCATCATAGCACTTGTCTACCACATGGCTGATATAATTTTTGAAATTTATATCCATATCTGTATAAATACCGTTATTTCGTTGAGATATTTTTGAAGGTACATGTCACATATTCTGAAATTTTGCATAATTGCAAAATTGCAATTACATATGTAATTATTGGTTGCATCCATTCAAACTTTCTGAATTGAATCTGTGTATTTCTTAGTCAAGTGGACCTCATAAATACATGTAACTCTAATTTGTTAAGTGTCAAGTTTGTTAGTGTCCAGAAATTATCCAGACTTATATATACATGCACATAATAGAGTGCATTACATTGGAATTCTTTCCATTGTGTATGATACAGCGGATGTGTTGATTCATGAAGGTAAACCTGGCCTGATAAATGGGGAAATGTCACTCAGTTGTGTTTCTCCCCATAATGTGAATAGTTGACTTTATTTTTGTCTCTGATTTTAGAAGCAGTGATGCCTTTTTATCGCCATTTAAAGGGGGGGCCACTGGAAAAAAATCTAACCATTGGTTATTTTTTGCTGTTATATGTCCTGCTTTAACAGTTTCTGTAACTTTTTAAGCTTTCTTAATCTTCTACTTGACTTAAAATTTCATGAGGCGATGTTTAATATATGCATAAATAAAAAGGATGTGGTTAAAAATATTGACATGTTGATAAGAATTTCCTATAAATACAATCTAATAGTATGCATGAGGCTGTGTTCAACTTTTCCAAGCCTTTGATCTTCATGCATTTAGGGAGACATTTTGAATATTTTAAAGGCTGTTGTGGTTGGGTTCAGTAATTTATCTATTGTTCTCAGATAAGATAGTATAAACTCGATCTAAAAACATCATGCTTATCAGACTCTGGCCATAACATCTGTTACAAACCTTGCCATTCCCACTGCATTGATATCTTGTTCATCCATTTGTCTGTTTTGTATTGTCTCAAGACTTGCATTTGTTCATTTAGTTAACCCCTGTGAGTCTTGTGACATTTTATTCTTTATTATTGCTTTATTTATTATCAGAAATCATTTGGATTTATTTCTGATCATATTTATGCTATCCCATTTTAGGCTGAAAAATTATTCCCATCATTCCAATTATCTTTCCACTGCAAAGTACATGTATTACCGGTAGTTTCCTACCCACCTCGCTAGATACTCCTAATTAATTTTTTTGATTGTAACTTACTGTTAAGGTTGTCTTGATTTTCTAGCATACCTTCCAGTTTAGTGTTTTTGTTGTCTGTACTGTCTGTGTAAGGTTTTGCTTCAGACACTTACTACAATTGTTCTCATTTTGTCTTTATTGACCGTCCTCTTTCCCTAGCTTTTTAGACTGTTTTCCCCTCATCTCTTAGGTCTCTTAATCAGACTTTTTCTTCTTACCCTGTCATCTCAGCAGTTTGTTTGACAGTCTGTGTTACTTTCTTTCACATCTTTTATCTGCACATTTCTTGCGGTCATCATCAGTCTCAGTTTGATTCCTCTCTGTCTTCCTTCTTTGCGTTGTATTCTCACCCTCTCTCTCTTGCCTCAAATCATCCACGTAGTATCACTTTCCTGTCCCTGTTATTCTAACCCACTCACTTTACAAGCACCGCTCGTAGATGTCCTCATCAAAACCTAACAATTCCAAAATGATTAGCGGTAGAGGCAAAAGCGAAGAAAGAAAATACTACCACCTCCAGGCCTGCATGTGCTTGCAAATTGTGCAACCCTAGCAGCTGTTGTTTGTTTTGAGACTTTTTTGATATGCACGTTAACAAAGCATGAACACGTCTGTGCCAAGACAAGAATATCAAAAGGCTCATTTTACGGTAGAGAAGTATTGGAGCCCTGGATGGAAACGTGTCAAATGATCTGTTTACAATGCTGGTTCAGTTTATTATGTGGTGCATTGTGAATACCTACCCAGGGAAATGATTGAAGAGGAAGGGCATGGTGTATAGGAGGGAATAGAGGTTTCTTAATTGATTTTGGATTGTGAAAGATTACCTGGAGATTGGATGTTTACCTCAGATGTTTGAGGTTGGTGGGTGGTAAAAGATAAATTGGAAAGTTACTCAAGATCATTGAGGATGGAAATGATTCCTGAAGTGGTAATGGAGAGTGATTGTCATTGTCATGATGATGAAGACAGTGACGAAACTGAAAGTACTGGTAGCACTAATGATGACGGTGACAGTGGAGTCATTGGTGATGATGAGGATGGTGTGATGATTCTAACATGACAAAAAGGGGGGCAGTGATAACATTTGAGGATGGCAGTGGTGATGAAGATGTAACGATACCTTTAGACATCTACACAATATGAGCCATCTGAAAGTCACTCGGCACATAAATCTATAAATCTGCATTATTCCCTTCCTGCAGATTTCTTGTATCCTTTGGTCAGAAGACACAGGAACCAACAGTTGCATGTACAGTGTAGAATGCACCTCCCTGATCCTTTAGCATCCCCTCATTGAGGTCAGTGCCTCCAGTCTGAGGCTTAATCAAAGATTCAGACCTGATTCCCTTTAAACTCAGCACATCTGAAATGTTGAACAGATAGATACAATCATCGAGTTGGCATCTGTTGCCAAGAGGAGTGACTTTTCCCTCTTAGCCCCTAGTGAAGTGACAACACACTTTAGCACTGCACGCTTCCTGATGAGTGGTTTTGATGGTGTACGTGACTTCCACGACAAGTTCCAAGTAAATGCTTGTAGAAGGATTGTGGGTTTGTGATCAGGGTGAATCCTACTGACTGGTTACGTTGAACCATGGTAAGACATTCTGTCTGGTTGATCATGGTATGCGAACATCATCACAACTCTAAACCTTATTGTCACAAAAGGTCTTACCATATCATAACTTAGTTGATATTATTGATTAGTATTGGTGGGAAAGAACAGTTTGGAATAACAGTGTTCTATATTTAATGCTTCTCAGAAGAAATGGATATCATCTCATGGGGGCCCTGAAGCATTGTTTCTAAATATAGCTACATGCACTCATATAGCTAGAGTGTGCTGCACCAATACAGGCAATACTGCGTCAAGTGTAAATTGTGTGAATTTGTCTCAGTATCTCCCAAAACCGAATGCACATTTTTTTGCCCTCTGCTTGAATTTCTCTTCCTTTTTTTTCTCTGGCATGTTTGAAAGATACACGGGGGTATTTTAATCAGCCAGGCTTGATGATACCACATCGATTGCACTTAATGAAGCTGGTGTTGGATATTATCATTATGTTAAAAATTCCAGTACCTTGGTTATGCTCAATTTATCATGCAATGATAACATGTTGAAAGAGCAATTATTGGTATTTTATTTTCCAATGTTTAATGTGTACACATAGGCTACTTATTCAGGTCTTTCAGGTGTAAGTGCTTGACAAATGTTAATTTTAATAGATCCCTTTGGCACGCGTGATAAACCAGTGTTGAGCTAAGAACTGGTCAGAATTTCTTTCTACATGATTGTAAATTGTGGACCATTCTAATCAGCAGGTATTTATTTTGGAAGAGGAGATGAAAAGCGGAGAAGGGTAAGGGGAGATCAAGTGTGGATGGAATGGGTCATTACTGCTGTGGAGTTTGTACCCATGGTCATACATCTACATTTTCATGCATGCCTCATTGAGCACTGGTCTAGTCTTTTTAACTGGTAGCAATGCTTCTGTATTGTTCGGAAAAAGGTCGCAAAGATTCGTTGTCAAGAAAGACATACTGGGACCTGATTATTTAGCCTGTTTATGCACCCGTGTTCATGTTTGGTAATGCTCATTTTACTAAGCTGTGGATTAATTTTGCATTTGTTTGATTTCACTGGAATATAAATTTCACTGTGCACTGAAATACATGTGTATGTACATGTACACGTAGAAGGTTTACATGTACACGTAGAAGGTTTACATGTACATGTAGAAGGTTTACATGTAGAAGGTTTACATGTACATGTAGAAGGTTTACATGTACACGTAGAAGGTTTACATGTACACGTAGAGGGTTTACATGTACATGTAGAGGGTTTACATGTACATGTAGAAGGTTTACATGTAGAAGGTTTACATGTACACGTAGAAGGTTTACATGTACATGTAGAAGGTTTACATGTACATGTTTGTGTAAAACTAGTTCATCTTTTGATAGTGCAGTTTAGGCTGTAATTGAAAATACAGTGGAACACTGTTTATCAAGGTCCTTGGGACTT